AACGTGGTACCCGATCCAATAAATATGCCGAAACGTGGCAATCGATCCCAATTAATATATCGAAACGCGGTATCTGATCCAATCAACACACCACCATCACAATCACAAGTACATTCTCAATAATCATACAATCAAGAAGTGATTCATGGCATATAGTTATTCGTCTATCTCATTTACAACAAGTGTGATCAATAATACAACATTCGCATACATACATGTATCATAATGAAGCAAGAACAAACAAATATCACACAATCATAGAATCACAATCATCACCTACCTCGAAACAAGCTTGAAACCCTAAGAAACTTGATCCTTCCCTTTCTGGATTCGTTCCGCTTGTTCTTGGTCTACAAACAATCAATACAATACGGGAATCAATAAACAATCATTAATTACCCGAAATGCTAACAATTCTATGAACCTTAGATCATATCCATGATCCCAAGCACCCAAAATAGGGTTGTTCCCACCATATAATCTAGATCAAAATCCTCCCCCATCGATAATTACTTATTCTATTATGTTCTACGGATCAAAAAATGGATTCGGGGAGTGAAAAGCTTACATTTAGCCTCAAGAATGGTGGAAAACTGTCAAGAGTATTCTGGGGTTCGTTCCTTAGTTCTTAAAATAAAAAAAGTGCAGAGTAAAAATGTTTTGGGGTTTATTTACGACTTTAAGTTGCGTCGAACCAGCCACAACGGTCCTCACCCTGCTACAGCGTCCCCGCCCTGGCGGTAGAAATCCCGGCCCAACGGCTTGCACAGAACCAGTGAGCTATTTTAATAATTTCAAGACCCCCATTTCACAACACACCTTTAATCAACGACGCTCAGAAAATACCGTTCACGCTAAGATCGATTCCGGGAGTTCTACTCACCCGAATTCAATTCCGTAAAGTCGTACGGGTTTCTGAATGACTTATCTAACTACTCATGTAATCAAAATCATAAATAAGTCACCCGGTTGTTACCAGATTTCCCTTCACCTTAATGACTCCGATTTCGTCCAAATCTGGACTAGGTTGGAAAATTTCAAGTTACTACGAAAAAGTTTTTCGACCCAAAATTTTTCTCCATTGGCTTTTCTGTAATGACGGAACCCGGTTGTTACATATGTACAGTGTAATTTTTTAACAAGGGGGGTCGGGTGGAAAACCTCATGCCCCCGGCCTTGATCTTCCCGTGCCTGCCAATAGTCACACCATTGTTCATACATTAGAGAATTCTCTCTCCATTCTCCATCCTAGCAGACAGTTGAGAGTCAGAAGAGAAACCAGTTTCTCGAGTACACTAAACACTTATAATGAAACAACAATAAATTAAATCAGAATAAGCAATCACTCCAACATAAGTAAATTTCATCCATTACAAGTGAAAATGCCAAACAGGATTCACTTTCAAGTGTCACTGATTCATCAAAAATCCCAGTGATCTGTTCGTATTGCAGAATGCAAAGAATGATACCTACTATTCAAACCAAGCGATCCATCCAATCAACATGTTATTCATCACATCACTTCACAGTTCAAATCTATTTCTATCATTAAGTACTTCCATACACCAAACATGATTAAATTCAATGGCATGAGTATATATGCAGGTGATGCTTTCCAACTTCCAAAGTGAATTGTATTAGTCACTGTCGGAGCCAATAAGATTGCTGGACAAGTCATATTCCAGTGACGGTGATTCCATTACTCTTCACTAATTGATTTGTTGCAGTGAGACAATATTATAACTAGTGATTTACTTTGTTTCTACATCTGCACTAGTATTGGGTACTAACGTCGAAAATATATCATTTCAAGTTAATATGTTCCAACAAAACACTCATTTATACTAAATGAATGCATAGCTTTCAACAAATATATGGAGTATCTCATTTCTATACTTCAGATTTCTTGTTGTAGTACCATTTCAACATGTAGACAGCTACAGCCTGGCTCAAACAATAAAATATACTATATAGTAACTTCTTTCTAATGTGAGTTAGACTCAATACACTTAATTTTTTTATTATTATTATTATTGTATTCAATCAAATTACACCATGCAAATGGTAAAGGTATAATACACAAATGTGTCCTTAAATTTGATCTCAATTTATATCTATGTTCTTCAACTTTGAGTCTGTATAAGTAGACACTTAAAATTGTATAACGTTGAATAAATAGATACATGTGTCCTATGTGACGTCTTACATAACAATTCACGTCCGACATGATGTTTTACAATGTATTATGTCACGTAGGAAGCATATGTCTACTTATTTAATTATATACTATGAATTTAAGTGTCTATTTATGCACACCTAAAGTCAACTGAAACTAAATTAATTAAAGGACACATTTAAATTTTATGTCAATGGTAAGGTAGTATAAAAGAAGGGATACTTGCAGGTGAATCCGTTACTAGGAAAGTATAAAAGAAGGGTATTTGTAGGTAAATCTGTAGGATTTTCTAGATTAATTAATTAAAGTGTGGCCATTATATTATTACCAATTGATTTTACTTTAAATGTATTAAACATAATAAATATCTTATACATAAATATTTGATGAGGTTAGACTCTTAAATGACTTGTTCCTTTTGGGACATGCTGACTATAGATTAAGTGTGTTTCCAGCATGTACAACGTGAATAATTAATTAACGATAATAGTTTAATTGTCGTTAAATATATACTACTATATATATATTAGTGACAATTAGCACCTTTTGTAAATGTGCCTAAAACCTATAGCGACATTGGATCCAATAATATTTAATTAATGAGAATAACACTCTTTGTTTATGTGTATATTTATTGCCATTAAATATTATTTTTGTTATAGTGATACAAGACTACTTCCTCGTTTCATCGTCATTGTTGAAGGTAACAGTTGAAAATGAAATTGGATCACTCATGTGGATAAACCCAGATCTATGTCTAACTAAATACTAATTTATTATGTCTCTTGTTATTGTGTTCCTACTTCTTAATTACGTAACAATAAATAATGATCTTGGGTCTGCATAAAGCAAGGACGTGGGGAGAATATAAGAGAATATATTTTGCTTTCCGGAATATTATGTGTGTGATATTTCTAGTGTTATATGTTTTTACGATATTGTTCCTTCTGCGATTAATAAATAAAGAGCTTAAGGTTAAATTTTAAGAGCAGACTAATCTTCTTCTAACTCGATTTGGATGGTCCCATATTGACAACTCTAACAAACAACATAGTAATTTGTTTTTCATCAATCTGTTGTTAATTGATTTTTCGAAAAACAAAACACGCTAGCCGTGAAAATTTGAAAAGGGGGTATAAATAACTCAAATGCACTCGAATTTGATCACGAAATAGTTATCAATTACTAACTCATCGTCCTCGACTGTTAAGCATTTGACATATAAGTAACAAAATTGTCAAGGTGTGTTATGCACAGACAGATCTTAGCTCTTGTTAAGCTATTTTTCTATGTCTTGATCTCCCCACAGCCGCATCCGTTTTGTCGTCTGCTCAACCTGCATTTCCATTTTCTTATTACTACTACTACTACAGTCTGTATTACAAAACGTGTACTAAATGCAAATCGTGTTTTACTTAATTAGTCGACAAGGAACTAAAAATTCTGCACTAGTACTTGCTGTCAACACAGATCGATGATTTTGACCCAAAATGTAGAACAAGAAATAGTAATCATTAGTTCACATACCTCTTTATCCCAATCGATTCTATAGATTACAATCGAGAGTAGCTGTGTTTGCAAAGCGAGTCCAGCTATCATTCCTCCCCATAGTCCCTGCGAGATACTAGTAAATTAAATGTGAGAGATACTAGTAAAACAAATTATACTACTTTGAGAATGAGAGTGTAATTACCCTGACTCCAAAGTTAGCCACATAACCAATAACATATCCGAGAGGAATACCAAACGCGTAGTAAGAACCCAAATTGATGTAAGCCACTAGCCCTTGCCACCCACCTCCACCTGCAACACAAAAAGATCATTCTGAGGACTGAGGACTATGGAGGAGTACTAAAGCTCTCTTAGCTATAGAAACAGAACAATGTAATTAAAGAGCAACACCTGATATTACAGGTTGAGAAGCATTGTTACTCCAAGAAACTGAGCAAGCTCAGAAACAGATTTAATCAAGACCTCATTGTCGGTGAAAAGAATGCCAAGATGATTTCTTACTGCCAATACTGCACTCAAGCAGAGAATCCCAATGAGAATTGACTGAAACAGTGTGACATAGACACTATATTTGGTTGCCCTGGCATGTCCTAACCCAAGCTCATTTGAGACCCGAACACTGGGGAAAAAAAAATACATTAACATGAACTCATCCAAATGGCAAGATTTAGGATTTCATTACCTTATGGCAGCGTTGATTCCGACAAAAAACATTTCTTCCCAGTTGCCATTCACCAATGATTGAGCTGAAAGATGACCAAAAATTGATATGTTTGATCAGTCGTTCAGGTCAATCAAATCCTGATTGAATGTTCGGTTGCATAGCAGAACAATCTATGGGGAAAATAAAGAAAGCACAAGACTTACCAAATAGAGAGGGATGCAACAGCAGTAACAGGATCTTTAAGACATCCAGCGATGAGAACAATACTCATCGTATACCAGGTTTCTAGGGATAGCATAATAGCCGACTCAATTGACAGTTTAACAAAGGGCCACATGTCATTGAATGCAGACCAAGACCATCCCTTCCACCCATCCTTGCACCGAAAAACAACGTAAGCAAATTGAGCTAGCGCGTTGATCCAGCCTACAAGATTAAGTGATATAACTGCCCCGGTTAAACCCCAATTGAATACATAAATGAAGAGCCAAAGGAGAAGAGCATGGAGTAGGAGAGCCACAAAACCAATCCAGGCCAGCACACCAACTTTACTCTGAGCTTGAAGAAATTTTGAAGTGGGAATAGTGATAGACAGGGAATATAATTCAGGTATGGTTAATATGGTGAACTTTCCAGCAACAACAGCAATATCATGATGTTGACCTAGGAACTTAAGTATAGGAGTCGCGAAAATGTATATCGGCAACAGAAGGAAAGTACTGACGAGTAGAATAATCATTGAGCGTTGTGTGTAAACTCCAAGCATGTGTATTTGCCCAGCACCAAATGCCTGCCCACAGAGTGTCTCCAAAACACTTCCCATGCCCATCTAGAGATTGATCATAACAAATGAATGAGAATTCTACCAAATGCACATCAAAGGAAACAGGGGACTCACCATGAAGCCGAAAGCGAAAGTAGCAATGATAGTTTGAGCAAGGGTAACAGCAGCAAGGTGTGTTGGTCCAAGATGACCACAGAAAGCAACAGTGACAGCGTAGAGTCCGTATTGACACATGATATTGAAAGCTATTGGGCCTCCAATTTCCCATAACTTTACTGTCTCAATCCAGAATTCATTCAAATTCACTATAGAAATATGCCGGTAGTCACCGTCCGAGCAAATAAGATCGCCGGAGAAATCATTGAGCAACGGTGATTCCATTGGAAAAATAGTAGTTAGTGCGTTTTCATCTGTCTAATTTCTGATGAAGACACCAAATAATAAATAAATGTGAACGAGATATTCTAATGATCAAGTCAATGACAAAAATATTAAAAAAAAAGGGTCAAAAATGTCCTTGTACTATGTGAAAAGATCAAAAATGCCCTTCGTTTATACTTTGGTTTATTTATGCCCTTATTGCTAGAGAAATGGGCCAAAAATGCACTTAATGAAACGGAAGTAACGACAACTTCTTAAACAATTTAATTAGTCTTAATTAACATTTTCACTTATTAGATTTTTGATTATTTTTTTTTACCCTAACCCATTTACCATTTAACCCGGCCACCCTTCTATTTATTCTTCTTCCAGTCATTTCTAGCTATGCTTCTTCCTCCATTTTCTCACAAGATTTAATTCTTCCTCTTTCAAAACCCTAGCCCCCTCTTCTAGATTTCTCAAATATTCTTAATTGGGTGTAACTTTTTCTTCATTTATGATGATATCGAGTTTTCTCCCGACATTTCATTGTTTATGGAATGTCTCAAGGTTCTAATTTTTCATATAGATATAAGAGCATATGCTATTGTGGAATTGCAGCAGTACTCAATTTCATATCGTGGATTCCTTCAAATTCAGGAAGAAGTCTTTTCAGGCTGCTAAGCCTGATGTAGAAAAAAAAGTTTCTTGTGAAATCTGTGGATTTCTTTTGAATTTTTTTCACGAATGATGAATTTAGTTTTATCTTTCGTTACGACACTATTAAAGATGGAATAAGATGAATAGTTAGCCCCCACACTCCAACTCTTAAATGATGAATTCACCCACAAAATCATAGTTTTGTTGTAATTTTTCTTTACACTGTATTTTCCTTAATTTCTCACAAACAAGTCTCATTTACTCTCTAAAACATGAATTATCCAATATTAAATTATCATCGTCTCATGAGTTTTCATTAATAAATATTAGTACTAGTTAGAAGTTGATTTCTTATTTGTTTGGATGCTGAAAAACAAGTGGTATTGTTATTGTTTCTTTTTTGTTTGGATGCTGGAAAACAAGTGGTATTGTTGTTGTTTCTTAGTTGTTTGGATGCTGGAAAACAAATGGAATTGTTGTTGATTAGTGCCATAAAGTAGGTAATGGATTATGGTGATACAAATTTCAGAGCTGCGAATTAAAGAATGAACATTCAGTGCCCAACATCCAACCAAATGAAGGAATTATAAGTTTTAGCAATAAACCATTACACTAAAGAAGAAGATTCACTGCACATCACAACACCAAAAAAAAGCAAATACTAACAAGACCAAATGTTAAACCATTAATCTAAATAGAGGAACAAGTATTCACTTTAAACCATTACACACAAAAAATGCAAATTCACTGCACACCAACACCAAAAACTATCAAACACTAAACAAGTTCTAGTGTCAACTGTCAACAAGACAAGTTACACCATCCAACCAATTCACATCCACATTTTAGTGGTTAACTATTACCAAGACAAATGTGAATTTTAAAAAGAACCACCAAAACATTTTTTAAGGTAATATTTCAAGTCCATTCAAGCAAAACATTAAGTACAGTTCCTAGTCTTTAAAAGTTAACATCATTGTCATCAATATTATCTGGAATTCCTTGTCCCCTTTTCTAGCCATCATCTTCAATCTCTTTTTCTTTCCTTCTATTTTTGTAGCTTGATTGAAGTTGTAGTTGCTGCCTTACCTTTTCAAATAGTTTTAGTTAGTGAATAAGGCAAATTTATCAACAATGACACTCCACTAGCATCTCCAGTAAATCCAATTCTCCTTGATCCAATTGCTGGCTTAGGTTTATTCTTTCTCTCTTCCAGCCTTGTGACTTCAGAAACAACCATTGGTCTAAGTGATGGGTCTTATTCGGTACCGACTTCAGGACCATAAGATTGTGTGGTTGAATAAACTGATTGTTGTGTCCCCACTTTACTTCAGTTTGAAACTTTATTTCTGCTTCATCATTTGTGTCACCTGAGTGATGTACCATTGGAGTTGAGGTTGTATCATTGCATTTCTTTTTACAATTTTTTGAACTAGAGCTAGCTCCTTGAGTATTGTCCTGTCACCAAAGGAAAGACATATTACTTTAGTTCAGGCCGTTACAATATAGTTAAGTTACAAATTAGATGCTTACATTATAACAACCCCTTGAATTATGGTTAGGTTCACTACATTTTTTACAATGCATGGTTGATCCCTTCCTGGATTGACTCCACTCTCCTTCCCTTTTCCCTGCTTCATCTGGTACTCTATCTCTTTTAAGTTTGGGCCTGCCTACAGTCTTCATAGCTTCTGGTGATTCCATGGCTTAGGCTGGATCGACTTTCCAAAATTTAACTCCCATAATAGGTTGTATTTTGTTCTTGTAAGTTAGCAAATAAGCCTCCTTACAGTAATACCAGTGTATTTGTGTTCCTGGTTCAACCTTAAAAGCCAACAAGACAAAAATGAATTAAAAATTAAAATAAGCAAATAAAGACAACATATTGAAAAGGCTAAAATTGAGGATAAAATACCTTATCATACAACATGGCCTTGATAGCATGGGGGCATGGTATTCCCGATAAGTCCCAAGCCCTACATGTGCATCTTTTATCCTTCAAATTAATTGTATGTCTATCATCACCTTCTGTGCCTTCGTAACCAAAGTCACCATTGAACTCAACCTTGCATCCATGAGCAATTGCCCTATAAACATTGTATAGCTTCATGCACGGTGGACTGAAATCTCCCTTCCAACTCCTAACTTTTGCTTCATTAGAAACCAACCTTCTCATAACCTTCAGCCTTATTTCTTCCAACATTTTGATGATAGGCATATGCCTTGCTTCCAGAATCCATGCATTAAATGACTCAGTGAAATTATTGTCAACCATGATATTTTTACATTGAGTATCAAAGTATGCCCGACACCAAGTTTGAGGTTTATATTTCAGCAGGTCTTTGGCAGCTTCTTCATCTATGTCTCCTAATTTTCTCAATTGATCTTCAAAGTCTTCAACATATGTGGCCCATGCACACCACCACATAAGTTTCTTGGCTTGTCCACTCCTCCACCTTTTACACCAATTAGCCTCAATATGCCTTACACAATATTTGTACTTAGCTTCAGGAAACACACTCTTCTTAGCATCAATTAACCCCTATGAAGTAAAAAAACAGCCAACATCATTATTAGTTTTAAAATTGAAAACAAACATCAGTATATTTTTTTTAGCTCAAGGATGACAATTTTGATTATCAATTAAAACATAAGGAAAAGACGTAAGTTTTACCTTTTGCATATCTGAGATGAATGTCACTCCATGTCCATCTTTAAGATTCAAAGAACACTTCAAAAGCTCCAAAAATCATTCTCATGTCCTGCCTGTCTCCTTATCCACCACTGCCCATGCAATAGGATAAAAATGGTTCATACAATCTTGACCCGTAGCAACTAATAGTTGCCCCTTATATCTTCCCTTCAAAAAAGTACCATCCAGCCCAATAAGTGGTCTCAAACCACTTTTCCATCCATCCTTCAATGCTTTGAAACAAATGTACATCCTTAAGAACTTCTTCTTTCCTTGTAAAAGAGCTTCTTTTGATATATTGATAACAACATCACTTCCCGGATTAGAAGTTCTAAGTTCTTGTCCATGTGCTTCAAGTTTATTATAGTCATCAAGAAAACTCCCTTCTAGGTTTTCAAGAGCCAGCCTCTTAGCCCTTTTAACCTTAGATGTAGACACATTCATGTTAAAAAATAGTCTCTAACTCTTCACGCATGTCTTTTAACTTAAATTGAGGATTATACTGAACTTTTCTCTTGAATAAATGTGCTAGTGTGTTAGCATTAGCCCTCGGATTTTTATAAGTAGAATCACATGTATGTACTGAATTCAATGTTTTGATGGAACAAGTACTACTTTTCTTATCCTTTGATACTAAAACTGTGAAGGGGCAGCCTTCAACACATTTATACCCGGCCCTAGTTGTATCGGTTTTCTTCACCCTTAGTCCATAACGATTAGCCATTACATAGAAGTTTATTACCCTTCTAGCTTCCGGGATATCCTTAAATGTTTCACCTTTCTCCAAAACTTTATAATTCTCCAAAGTATCAGTCACATCCCTTCTTTTTTCGTGGCTAAAGACCTCAAGTTCTTCCTCATTATAATCATTAGAATCTGATTCGTCGAATTCACTAGAACTACTTTCTTGGTCAGAAGCTACATCAACATCCACAGTATATGTCTCAGTATGATATGTGATGTTTTGAGCAAAAATACTCAAATCGAAAGAATTTACAGCAAAGAAATTTATCACTCTAAACTTCTTACTGAATAAGTACTGCAAAGTTCTCATACCGTCATCGTCTGTCACCAAATAATACCTTCCAGAAGGTCCAGTTACTAAAAGTTGATTTACTTTAGTGAACCCTAAATTCTTTGTGAACTCTTCGCAAACATCAGCAAATCTAACATTATTGGCTTCATACCCAGACAAAACATGCACCGAATTCTGATTATATAATAGCTCAGGAGAAATTACCCATGTACCCCCGTAGTGAAAAATCAAGTCGACTTTGTCGATCATCATCAAATTCAACCCAAGAAAAACGAACAAAGAAGGGCCCATGTCAGTAACTACACAATGACAATTTTAGTTCAAAAAATCATAAAAAATGTCATATAACATAATAAAAAAAATCGGGACCACAAAACACCCAACAAAATCATAAAAAGATGAACTTTATCTCTAAAACTAAGTTCTTTTATGTGAATATTAACTGACAACAACATTATACTACACATAACCCAATAATACTTGATTTTGACAAAAACACACAAACCCAATTGATTATGACCAAAACATCCTAATCCTACATTAAAATATGATGAATATTAGTAACATACCCTGAATCTATTAACTTTATATTTTATGAGAAACTTGACTGTCTTGCTTCAAAGGTTGGTAAAATCCTCACAATAAGAAACCCTAATAAGAAGCATAGTGTTCATCTGAACTACAAGCAGGAGAGTTTATCTAGAAATGACTGGAAGAAGAATAAATAGAAGGGTGGGCCAGGTTAAATGGGTCAGGGTAAAAAAAAAAAATTAAAAATCTAATAAGTGAAAATGTTAATTAAGACTAATTAAATTGTTTAAGAAGTTGTCGTTACTTCCGTTTCATTAAGGGCATTTTTGGCCCATTTCTCTAGCAATAAGGGCATAAATGAACCAAAGTATAAACGGGGGGCATTTTTTATCTTTTCACATAGTACAAGGGCATTTTTGACCCTTTTCCCTTAAAAATTTATTAAAAGTTGAGAAATTACTATCATTTTATCCTCAAAGACAAGCTTCTCTCAGGGCTGCGTATCGGTTCGATTCGGGTTTGAAGTTTATCGGTTTGACTTATTGGTTATCGATTTGAAGAGATGTTAAATCGTTATAGAACCATTAAGATATTGACCTATCGATTATTGGTTTATCTGATCGTTATCGGTTCGGTTCGGTTCGGTTATCTGTTTAACCGCTAAGATTTGACACAAAAAAAAACATTGAAAATCACTTAATAACAAGGTGACACACCATGCACATGAGTTCACAAGTTGCATCTTTAACAAAAGCAAACACTTTTACATTGTAGAATAACCAAGAGTTTGGACAACCTGAAATAAAAGTAGGAAACCAAACTCTAAGTCAAGTACTTTATATACAAAATGGTATAAATATAATTATTTAATTTACTATCGGGTTATCGGTTAACCCATTAAGAAAAAACCTAAAACCATTAAGAATCGATAACCCGATAACAAAAAAAATCAAAACTGTTATCAAAATCGCTAAATCAATAACCCATTACGGTTAAATCAATAACTTTTTTTTGGTTCGAATTATCGGTTTCAGTTCAATTTTGAACAGCCCTACTCAGATTTCATGTTACCATGGTTTAAGATTACATATACTCCTTCTCTTTCTTATTAACTGAACTTTTTTTAATTTTTAAAATAATTAAACCCTTCAAAGCTTAAAATTAATATTTCAAATAAAATCCATAGCTCCTTTCATTTATTGAAGTTTTATATTTTCTAGAAGATAAATTATACTATTTATAAAGTTATATTTATGATTTCAAAAAGAAAAATAGTGAAAATTATGATTTAAATTATGTCCTTGAATGTTTTTCTAGGACCCATTTGGTTAAAAATATATTTGAAAAAAACTTAGGAAGTAGTGTTTGGCCATACAATTTGACAAATATATTTGGTAAACATCTCAAGTTTCCAAATACTAAAAAAAACTAACATTTGAGCCAAGTTCTAATAATTAGGAATTTTCAAAAATTTAAAAATTATCCCAAATTTTTATATTTAAAAAAAAAAACACACTTCATTTACTATTTCCAACTAATATTTATCTACCTCCTCCAAAAAAAATTGAGTTATAATTTGAGTGACGAAATTGAAAAAAAAAAAGAACAATTTATTTTGAATGTTACAATTTCAATTGAATCAGTAATAAATTTAAATATACGACTAATATTCTTGAACAAATTTATGGCTACATAATGAACTTCACCCAAAAATAACTTATCAAGAATATTAAAAATTTATACTAGTTAAACACTAACTTAATACATTATCTCACAAAATCAATTAACAAGAAATATAGAGAATATATTGTACAAAATCTTGTTTTAAAAATAATAAATTATGTGTCCAATCAAATATTAAACACATCTCACTTCCAATTCAAAAATTACGAGTTCGAGTCACTAAGAGAACAAAAATGTGTGAGAGCTCCTAGGGAGGGTAAAAAAAAAAAAAAAAAACCTAACTGAAAAGGAGGGAGCGAATCTCGTAAATGCCTTCACAATAAATGATGAATCTGTGCCTCCGTTATTAATTTATGGTTCCCACTCCCTAGACACTTAGATCATCATGGCCGAATGTAACACTAAATTGTACTTTTTATTTAATTGTTATTATTTTTAGGTTTTATGTCTTTTTAGAAATTAAGTTTATTATTGTATTTTTATTTAGTATTTTTAATTAAGTTTTTAATTAATAAATGTAAATTAATTAATATGATCAATAAATATAAATTAATTATTATCTCTGTTCTATTTTATGTGATACTGTTTGATTTGATGTTGTTTTAAATAAAAAAGTAAGATTTTTAAAATTTGTGATCTAAAATAATCATTGAATATTTGTATGATTGTAAATTATTTCATCAAGAGTAAAAAGAGATTTTTTTAGTTAAATTATTTCCAATTATAGTAAAATGACATTCTAAGGGCACATAAAATGGGACGGAGGGAGTACTTAGTTTCAGTGTTGGTCAAATACAAAATTCCAAAACTAATAATTCTCAAGGAAAAACAATATTATTTATATATTGTTTTAATAAAATGACAAATATTAAAGAACACTTATTTTTAGTAAGAATAACCGTATATAAAACAGAAAAAGTATATTTGATCAAGTGCTAAATGACTAGAAAATTTGGCCATAATTTGACCAGAAAATTAAAAAAACTATAATATTTTTTTAATTTTAAAATAAACTGATCTTTTTTCCATTTTTTAATTAAAAGGTATTAAAGGTAAAAGAGTAAAAATGTTTAAAAAGGTAAAATAACATAGAAAAAAATCATTCTGGCCAAAAAAAAAATTCCTCCAACCGTTGGCTTTAAAGCCAATCTCTACGCCGTAAAGCGAAAACCATATAGTTTGTATTTCATCAATTTATTACATCGTTTTTTCCGGAAACAAAATTGGCTGGTAATGAAATTTTAAAAAGGGAAAAGAATAAAATCTTGAGGAGATTTTTAAATCCATTTGGGTCAAAATTATGATACTAGTAACTTTTAACTACTTATTGCAAACCTTTTGCAAGTGTCCTACTCAAACATGGAAGAAATGATGATGCTTTCACAAATTTGACCTCCAATACATAGGAAAATAAGTGCTTCCAATTATTTGTCTATAGGATGAAGGATCTTCTACTAATAATCTTTGAAGATAATGACTTGACATTTCAAATAATTTAGAGAAAAAGACAACATATTTGAAGAAAACAAAAAAAGTAGTAGTCACATGCATTCCTACCCCACTCGTATTCTAATATTCTAAAATAATAAAATTGTCATTTGCTGACTTTATGCAAGTTCAGACTCTGGAAAAATCTTCTTTTTATCACAGAAAAAAAGTAAACCCAAAATTTTATGGACCCAAAAATATTAGCTGTGTGAGGCATGTAATAAAGTTATTTTTGAATGTTATGGGTCGATCGCAGTGCTTAATTAAGCCGTTGTGAAATTTGGGATTTGGAGTTTTTTCTCTGTTTCTAAGTCTTGACCTCCCCAGATTCGCATCCGTTCTGTTGTCTGCTCAACCTGCATTTCCATTTTCTCATTACTACTTGTTGTCTATAGAGTTATCTTGTATCGACCACATCGAACATGAAGTGTTATTGAGTTTAATTGGATGATAAAAACCATTAATTCACATACCTCTTTATTCCAGTCAATTCTGTAGAGTACAATCGAGAGTAGTAGTGTTTGCAAAGCTAGTCCACCTATCATTCCTCCCCATAGTCCCTTCAAGAGAAAATCCAAAATCGCGAGTTTTCTCATTTCATATAGTAGTTTGAGAATGAGATATAAGCTTTGAGAATGGAAGTTTGTTTACCATGACTCCGAAGTTAGCTACATAGCCAAGAAGATATCCGAGAGGAATACCAAAAA